TTTTAGTTCTTGTTTCAGGTTCCTATTGCTCATGATGTTAACCCCTAGATATTTAAGACATACCCTGCTCCCCACTTTTATTATAAATTGCCAGTTTGCATCTTCTGGGTTCTCTCGCTATTGTCAAGGATTGTGCCTTCTGTGTCGATATGATCATATTGAATTTTCCTGCAGCTGTTTCGAATCTGTGTAGTAGTTTTTGCGGATTATCCTCATCTTTCGATATCACAACCGCATCATCAGCCTAGCAAATTATCTTAAGCTCATGTTTTCCCATTCTGTATCCTCTGCCTGCAGTTTTGACTTATTTTATTATTTCGTCCATTATAATGTTGAAGAGTATTGGACTGAGGCTATCTCGTTGTCTGATCCCTGTTAATACTGGTATTTTACTGGAAAGTTCGTTGTTTACCCTTACATATGCGCTATTTCCGCTATTCATGATATGGAATATAATCACATTAAATATTTTGAACGCTAATTTTTAAAAATAGTTAACTTAAAAGCAGTTAGGACAAACATATTTTTTCACTTTCTGAGAGACTTTCGCACATTTGGCATGATGCCAAACTTTACATTTTAGGCAACGGATCATGTCTATGACAGTATTTTTTCACATATGGCACAGTACCAAGACTCTTTATCCTCTTGAACTTATAGGAGTGGATTTGTCAAACCTAAGTTTCGCTTGAATGTCGTTTTGTTTTTTGATGGATCCACTCTTGATTCTTCTAAATCGTTTTTGTAGGGAGAACTGGTTAATTCTACTGCTTTCTTGCCACTCTTTTAGAAACTATTTCTTTGCATAGTGCAAGATGGAAACATTTAAAGAAGAATTAGATTGTTTAGAATTAGTTGTTCCAGGCCGTTTATTGAGAAGAGGAATATCATCTTCACTAGATGCATCCATATTCCAGCCTTCAGCTTCAACCAATGAGTTGAGAATAGTTGAAGAAGCAAAGTTGTTTTCGTTAAACATCTGGCTATCAGGTGGCTATATTCCAGCACCCCGTTAAGATGCACCTTAGTATCTGCTTTTGCTTTCTAAAATTTTTTATAAAGTTAGTATCATCAGCGCTCCATCGTTAACATAATTTTTTACAGTTGCTGCCAATTCGTAAGCTTTTCTTAGTAATGCTTTCACCTGAAACATGCTTACAGTGCGGCCCACGTTACTTCTAAGCAAATTTTTGATACACTGACTGTATTGTTTTGAAAAGATCTGAAAAATACCACATCGAGAGATTGTAAACGATGAGTTGTGTGGCTAGGTAGTTGAAGCAGCTTTATTCCATTAGCATGTGCAATTTCTAGCGCCTCGAGGTTTTTGCTGTGGGTGCTGTGTCAATTCAGAAAAAATAAAACTGGATGCTCGCGACTAGGTTTGACACATCGAATAAAATGGTTAAGCCTAGAAACAAACAAATCTAAGTAATATACCCAGTGTCGCTTCTAATGACAAGGCTGCCTGGAGGAGCGTTAGTTGCAAGCATCGTTTCCTTTTAAAAATTATCATAGCGGAGACGAATTGGACTGCTAAGCTAACACAACACACCACGCCCCTCTAGCCACTTGCAATGATCCCAACCTGATGTTTACCTTTAAGGGCAAGCACTCTCTGACATTTCCTTTGCACCGTCGAGCACCCAGTTTCATCAACATTGAATAGTTGTTCTGCCTTAAATTAATTTTGGTCGCCCAATTTTTCTAGTAGGTCAAAAAATCTGTCTACCCTGTCCTCACTAAATACCTTAGCTGTACCCATCGAAGTGGATTCCACTAATTTATACCATTTCTTTCCAGCCGTCGTTTTTTCTTGATTAAAATTATTAGGGATGTTTTTTCTAGACGCTATTTCAAACGCTAGTTTTTGAACGTCTCTTACTGTTAAACCAAACAAGCATTCTTCCATAGCTAAAATATAATCTACAGGCTCTTGCTCCACATTTTCAGCGAAAACGGTGCATCTACCCATTTTTTTAATTATTCCATTTGCAGTTTTTAAAGTCGCTTTAGGAACGTTATGCTGCCGTTTAAACCGATGTCACCTCTCCTATGCGTCGCCAAGGCTATTTGCCATATTTACCACGTTACGACATTCTGGAAATAAAAAATATGTAAACTGTTAAAAATGAATCCTAAATTGGACCTGTTCAATTAAAAAGGTTTCCTAAATTGGACCGGTTTAATTTTAAACACCCGATACTGTCCAATTTAGGCTAACCAGCTGAAAATATATTTACAATGGCATTCGCATCCTAAGGAGAGCATGATTGTTTGAGGTTAGGATAGGAAAATGTTGAGCAATAAGTCACCTACTGAAGTATTATATAAAATCATAATGAATTCTTACCTTACAATCTGCAGCATTAATTTAACAAATTTTGTCTGTAAAATCAAGAAAACGCAATATTATCGACAAAGCAAACGTGAGCCGACTCGCGTTAGTAAACATAATGAGGTCAACGTATTTTCTGTAAGATGGCGCTGCGTTTACTTTTTGTAGCCGAGAAATTGTGGTGATTTAATTTAGGCGCCGCACAGTGTGATGTACCATGGACAAAATTACCTAAAAGGTTAATTTTCAACTTTTTATTTTTAGCATTTTTGTTACAACGTCGGGCAGATTATTTGTCACTTAATAACATACAAACATTATTTTATCTTCGTTAGCCGTGCTTTTTTTTAGCCACGCCTCGAAACTTTGACAACTGTTAACGTTAGCCGAGAATTAAATATTTAGCGCGACTTTTACTGCTATTCAAAGTTATTTTTTAAGTGTTTAGTATTATTCTTTCTGTATAATTTAAAAATGACGTCTTCTCAAGTTTGTAAGTACTTCATATTGTTATAAATTAAATTACCGTAAAGTTTTTTAAGCGAGTTTTATAAGTTTGTGAAGAACCGTCCAACAGTTTAAAAAATCAAATTATGAACTGTAGCAAGATTTTTGGGTTAAAATTTGCCACTAAATACAACAAAGTATGTCGCTCCCTCAAGCGACTTTTATTATCAAATTATTATTACCAAATTATATATTACGAAAGCAATTTACCAGAAAATCCATGTTTAAACCATGAAGCTCAGACCAGTTTAAATCGGAGAAGAAGACCCCGGGTTCTTTTTGAAGAGGCTTCAATTGAAACAAAAAAAAAGACGCACAGCCGAATTAGCGGACAGAAGTCCAGAGGAACTACATTTTGCTTCACAAATTGTAGCTTCGGGAAGTACGACTAATCAGGTTCAATCTACTGCAAGTTTTACTTCCATTTACGCTTTGGCACTTATGTTAGATTTGGATATATCTGTCAGAAAATACATAATTCTTAGATCGGCCATTAATGTTAAAACCCAAAATTTTCTTCCCAGCTATTTTCAACTAAAAGAAGCCAAAAAAGAAATTTTACCTTCCAATATAAATGTATCTGATATTTCTGCGGAAGTAGATTTGCAGGATCTTTTACACAAAACAATAGCATTTTAAATTTAACTAATTTACATGGTTCAACGTGACGGTAGTTCTGGGCATAGCCAATATAAACAAAATTTCAATAGCCCTGAAAGCACAGACGAGTTTTTATTCCTTAATGCGATGGTGCCTCTAAGATTAATTGATGAGGAAACAGGGCAAGAACGATGGCGAAATCCTAGACCCTCCTCTACTTTGTATTGCAGACCCATAAAATTTTTATTTCAAAAAGAAAATGCTAATCTAGTACGCAATGTAGAAAAAATTTAAAGGAAAAAATTCAAAATTTACACGAGTTTGCAATACAAAGTAGGGATGGTATAAAATGTAATATCCGAGCTGATTTGTGGCTAACAATGATGGATGGTAGTGTCACAAACATTTTATCAGAAACAAATTCGACAACAAAATGCGTCATTTGCGAAGCCAAGCCTAAAGAAATGAACACTTTAACTCTAATTGATCGTCCATCCAACTCAGATAACTACCGCTTTGGTTTGTCCACTTTGCATTGCTAGATTCCTTTTTTTGAGTGCCTTATTCATATCGGATATCGAAATGAATGAAATGCCAATAAAGTCGTTTCAAATTCGAGGCACCGAAAACAAGGCTAGACACAAGGAGGTAAGAAGACATAGATTGTCTCACACCAGGAAATTCTCTAGGTTAGCATCAAATAAGGATTTAATGCGCATACTTCTTCTCAGTTCAGATCCTCTCATTGCATCTAAAAGAAACATAACTAACAAAAAAAAATGGACAGTCCTATGAAGATATAAATAAAATTTAAGTTATAGCAATTCAGTTTTAGATATGGAAGAATTCTTTAATCATAATAGTTCTGATGAATTCTTTGATGAATAGGTTTAAATTTTGTTTTTAAATTTTTTATATCTCTGTTCCGCATCAAAACTTTTTTTTTTTAATTTTTAAAACCAGGTTTACCTAGAGTTTTTTTTGTCTAAGTTAATTTACTTTTAATTGGTTAATCCAAAAGTAATTTATAAATTTACATGTTTATTCCACTTCTTATCCATTTAAGTTATAATATAATATATAAAATATTACGAAAAGTTTTTGTTCTGGGGAGTAGCACCGTGGCTGCTGCGCCTTCTACCGAACACTAAATAAACTGCCAATAATTTTGTGTGTGCTGTTAGTTTATGCATTAAGTTATTAAATATCGTTTACAGAACTTAAATTAATGTTTTCATTTTTAAAATATCGAATTTTGTCTTTATACCATATTACACGTCACACTGTGCGCCGATTCAAATTATGGAATTCTCCCCTATATTAGAAGAACAACGATTTTCCACAACTTCAAAATATTGCTCAAGATTTTTGCAACTTCCTACCCTTCCCTTCATATTGGGTTCTACGCTCTAGTTTTTGTAATTGTTATTAATATTATTATATAAATGTTTTTCCCAACTCCCTGAAAGCCAATGACTGAGAAATGTTTTGGGATGTAAAAATTAAGTCCACGAACAAATTTGGGGCCTATAATTAATGTATATTTTTGTTTCAGCTTCAGTCTCGATGTTCTTCCTGAAGTTCTAAGTCCTCCACAACGAGCCAAATACTTATAAGCTGGTCACATTTCTACCTCATCCGGTCATGTAGAAACGGTCGAGGATGTCCAGCCGCGGATTCCTAGTATTAGTGCTGTTGGTGACATGTTCTGTCGCCGAGCAGGCGACCGAATTCGCCGAGGCTTCCGACGGTGGTACGGCCTCCCTTCCCTGTAGTTTAGCCCCCACTCAAATTCCGGACAAAATAGCAAATATTTTGTGGTATCGCGGTGCCGAGGAATCTCCCTTTTATAAATATGACGCGAAAAATGTCCATCCGCAACATTGGGCGGAACCTGCTCTTCAAAACCGGTACTTTCTGCGTGTGCTAGACGATCAACGAGCGATCTTGTCCATATCCCCGGCCAAACATTCGGACGAAAACGTCTTTCACTGCAGAGTAGATTTTCAACAGTCGCCGACCAAAATCACCCACGTCAACTTGACAGTTATCGGTAAGTGTCTTATCCGACATTCAGTTTAGCTTATTGGCGATTGCATCCGAAGTACACCATAGAAATAATTAACAAAATTCCGTGTATTCGCTTCGACTATTATAATATACAATATATTCAATTCAATTTCAATTCAAAATTGTTATTATATAATATGCTTCAGTAAATTGGAACCATATGGGAATGTTTTTTTATTATTAATTTTAGGAACAAAACTTCTTAATCTAGAGGTAAAGTACAGCTAAATTCCACTTTATATTTTGAGCAGTATACAGATCATCATATAACATTTTGACAAAACTAAGTTTGTATTAACGTCCCATATGGGATCTAGACGCAGGTTCCTGCAAACATTTTGAGTAATAAAAATTAATGCGCATATACGTTTAGTTTAGCTGTGTCGTCAACTGTTTTAGCCAAAGGCGTAAGAGCGGGTACCTATTTCAATTGCATTTCCATTCCCTGACCCATTTCATAACTACAAGAAAAGTATATCTGTCTCTTAAAATAAAATGCATTATTAAATCTATTTTTATTACCACAAATTTTTGCATTAATCAGCCTTTACTGTTTGCCTGAACACGAAATTATTGTAAGCAATAAGAGACATCGTTTTTGGTAAATTTTTGAAAACGTCTCGCAAAAAATTTATATTATGCTAATATTATACTGGATGGTGCATTGCCGAATGGAACATAGGATATTACATGTAGGTGCTCAAATATTGACTTTATAGCAAAGTTGCAATATAACTTTTTGAAGGGGTCGGTGTGATTAACTCATGTGCCGAGTTTTAATTTTACTAAAGCCTTTCTTCAGTTTTTGAATTAAATATGATGGCAAAATTCAAAAAGTTTATAGTTTAAGTAATAAGTCAAACATCAGTTATAGTATATTATCCAACAAGTGCGGTAAACCGCATTCAAATCACTAGTTTATTTGGCACGAGCGGAGGGAGTGTTTAGTAAATATATTTTTCTACTCGCTAGTTATGGGATTCTGAAAAAATGTAGAAAAAGTACAGTATGCAACACGTTTGGTAATTTTTTTTAAGTCACTCGTTTATTAAACACTCTCTGCTGCGCTCCGCTCGTGCAAATAACCTCGTCACTCAAATGCCGTTTACCGCGCTTGTTGCATAATATATTATTTAACAATGAACGAACATTCGTGACAGTAACAATATTTTTATTTGTAACTATTATACGTTAATAAACGGTTTTAATTAAAACTAAATATGAGTTATTCAATTGAATATAAGGTAACCATAATTAAGTGGTGTTATGCATAAAACAGTCTTAGAGCAGTGTCTGAAATGTTTGAAGTTTATTTTCATGCTAAAACTTTACCTTCGAATTCAACAATTAAACATATTATATATGGAGGGTTGTTTAAAAGTTTAATTAAAAAATACTGTTTATTTTAAATAATGTATATTTTTAGCAATGTTTTGTAGCCGTATTTTTACTATAATTATTAATTATTTTTAATAAAATACTTGAGGACCAAATTTATAGTTGTTGAAGCTTTCCTGTTGCTTAAACCGTCCTTTAAATGAAGTTCCATCCCAGAATACTTTAAGGGACAAGTAGGTTTTAAAAACCGAGTATGAGTTTGATCGTAAGAAAAACATCATTGTATACCTACATTCTTAGTTTTTTTTTTGAGTGTGTTAAACCAAATGTGCATGTCTTTATTGTAAACCAACCTTTATTTGATATTTCCAACTTGACGTTATCAAGTTTTGGAAAGAGCACCATGGCTGGTTTTTTTTGTATTGACCTTTTTGCCATTTTGCCATTACATTGGCTTATTAAGATTTATTCAAAAAAGTTGTATTAGAAAGTGAGCACTTAAAAATTTACATAGGATTTCCAATGTTCCGGTATAGGTATTAGCATTTTATTCAATTTTACTGTTTATCATTGGTTGTTCCTGTAAGTTTTATCATTAAAAAAGGTCTAAACTCAACAGACTCAATTTTTATTTATTTTAAAAGTAAAAAGATAATTTTTAACATTTAAATAAACAACTTAAAAATAAATAGGTTCAGGTAAATGCCAGAATTGTAACAAATTTAGAAGGTGGTTGTTCCTTATTAGCAGTGGCCCAAAATTTTAACATAAAAAAGTTAAGAAGAAACACTTGGGGAAGGTATTTAATATTTTGTGCAATTTCCTTCCTCATCAATTACAGCTTGAACAATTCCTCTCATGGTCATGAAGTTATGAAGTTTTTTTCAAGCCACAATTCTCCTCATACTTCCTGAATATCTTGCCATAGCTCCTCGCTGTTTTGAGGCATAAAATATTTGTGATATGTTTTCGATTTAATTGATGTCAGTGGCAAGGTTGGCAATTGGAGCCATTGTGTAACGATGTTTGCAGTGTGGACAGGACAGTTGTCTTGTTTGAAAAATATAATTAATTTAGGGGTAAAGCTGTTTCACGGTGGGCATCATAACGTTTTGCAATATTTCAGAATAAGTTTTACGAACAATTCTTTCCATTTCTCTGGATGAAATTCATCCCCATACATTTACACTGAAATGGCCTACAGCTGTGTCTGTTGACAAATCGAGGGTTGAAGTGCTGGTTGTCTGGTCTGTACACTTTAATTTTACACTTTTTGGAAGACTGGAGGATCTTTTCATCGGAAAATATGACTCTATCCCAAAACTGCTTTTATTGCGCTTGATGGTTAAGCGCTACAATAAGCCGTGCTGTTGGGGAGTGAGTTCTTTCTTTTTTGTCTCAGTCCGGCATTTGGGATGAGATGCCTTAATTTTATCGACAAACTGGGGTTTTATTGCCAGGAAATACCGACAGAATTCTTGCGTACTTCGCGCTTTGGAAAATGTGATCCTCGACTATCCGAAAAAGCGCCTGATCTTCTTGAATTGAACTATTTGTCTGCCTTTCAAACATTTCTTTTTGTCTCCACCTTTTATTAATCGAAAAAATGGTTGTCCATCTTAGATTTAAATGTTGAGCTACCGCTGATAATGAAGAACCATCTTCTAACTTGGTGACAATTCTTGCTTTTGACTCTCTGCTCGTATGTGGAAGCATTTTAGGCTTCCTTTTATTTTCTAACGTATTTGTGATAACGCTGTCATTTTTTTATGACAGTGGCAGTATTAGAAATATCAAAACAATGAAGTTTGCACAGTGCTCGAAACTTTGGAAAAAAGTGCTTTATGAGTAGTATCCGTTTTTTATGAAACCAGTCGTACCTGTAAATTAGACAATATCAACCATATGTCAAGTTATTAAAAAAGCTGGTCAGAACTAAAACCTACGTCCAAATATGCAATTACCTCCATTTACGTTGAAAAAAATATGTTTTGGTCTTGGTTAATATTGCTTCTATTTTGAATGAACATTTATCTATTGTGATTATAAAAGTCAGGATAAACTTGTCATTGCATATTGTTTTTTAACAACTTTACCATTTAATCACGCATGAGTGCATGTAATAAATTGTACAGCTAACATAAAATTAATTCTAGAAATAAATAGAAACCTAATTTTCACTAATTCTACTAATGCCTCTACTGTCTTATGCCTGTCTGGAGAAATTTCCTGCCATTTTTCTAAAATTATTCTTTCTAAATGGTCAACATCTTGAAATAGCCATTCCTGGTAAACTTTTTGTAGCCCTTTAGGAAGTAATCAAATTGGGTAAGGTTAGGGGTCTAGAATAATGTAGCATGACATGAAGAACCATCAAATACATGATCCTTCTTCTTAGGGTAGTTCCACAATGAAGTCATAAAAGTCAGTATGTAAAACTTGTAAATAATGTTATGCGTTCATAGTTTGGCGAAAAGAAAGGTCCTATTAATATGTTTTTATGCAAACCATTTGACACGTTAGTCTTGAAGGAATATTGATCATGACACTTTGTTTCAAAATTGGTATTTTCATCAGACCACATTTAAAAATTGAACTTTTTTTCTATAGCAACACACAAACTATATGTTATATCACGCATAAGTTAATTAATCCCCGCTTTTTCTCTTTATTTAAAAATAAATTTCATTATTGGGCAGATTTCCATCTCTATCAATATTTGCTACAACTTTATATTATTATATATTATTATTGCATTATATCATATACATTAGGAGAGCTGGGTAGATATTTGAGATCCTATGATAATATAAAAATTCAAACGCAAAAAATATTTCTTCAATAAATATTTTTGATGTACTTTCACATTTTTATATTATTTGATAGAAGATTATTTAGTCGGATGTGAGAATTTGCTAGGTACTTGCAAAATGATGTTTCAAATATAATAATTAAAAAAAAAAACATAAAAAAGAGCTTATATATACGAGTACGAAATTTGAAGTAGCTACTCACAGTTGTGCAATACAATAAATATTAATTATGTGTCGCGCGAAAAGTTGGTGTGTTTTTACTAGATTTTATTTGTTGTTAGTTCTTTATCTTTCCAAGAGCTTGTAAGCTCTCGTGGCTAGGGATATAATGTTTTTCTTTTAATTGAAAAACAAGGATGCTCTGTAAAATACACTTTATGCCGCCCCATTGAACTTTCACCCTCTAACGAGCCGATTGCCTGGTAAAAATTAGAAAAAACCTTAAATACATATTATTGCTTAATTTCAGCAATAGCTTCAGAAATCTAGGAAATCATAGTCCACCGATATGCGGCATCGTTAATTTTAGTCCAAACATTTTACCTAAAACAAAAATCTGCATTTGAAAAAAATGAGACAAGGGGAAGCAGGAACTGTGATTAGAATAGCCTTAGCAACGGCACTATCAAAAAATTAATTGAAAAATGAATGTGATTAACAATATTAAACATCGTAATTCCACACGAAATTGGGTTTACTAAGCACAATCTGATTGGTTAAACATGGAAGCTGTTGTTCTTTGGGATAAATTTATGTGGGTACGTTGAGCAAAAGCCGTCGGATGGAAAAGGTGTAATCTAATTGCCGAACGATGCGTATAACCTCAATATTT